AAGAGAAGAGAAGAGAAGAGAAGAGAAGAGAAGAGAAGAGAAGAGAATATAGATAGAGAATGGAATGAAATGGAATAGGAGAGAACAGAATAGAATTCAAAACAGAAGAGAACAGAAGAGAATAGAATTCAAAACAGAACAGAATATAATAGAATTCAGAAGAGAAAAGAACAGAAGAGAAGAGAATTCAAAACAGAACAGAACAGAACAGAATAGCAGAACAGAACAGAATAGAATAGAATAGAGTAGACTAGACTAGAATAGAATAGAATTTAAATAGAACAGAACAGAATAGAATTCAGAACAGAACAGAACAGAACAGAACAGAACAGAACAGAATAGAATAGAATAGAATAGAATAATATCTGGATGGCATAACACAATACAGGTAGTCCTTGACTTACAATAATTTGTTTGGTGAAGTTACAACAAAAATAAAAGTGACATACAACCAGTCACAGAATCATAGAGCTGGAAGGGACTGTGGAGATCGCCAGTCCAGTCCAGTCCTCGCACTTACAACCTTGCAGTATCCCAAGGTCACCTAATCGAAATTGGGTTGCCTGCCAATCCTCATCCATGGGGTGAAGCTGAATTCGCTTAACAACTGCCTTAATCGCTTCACCACCGTGGCAATACAAGTCGTAAAAATCAGGCGAGACTCACTTAAGATGCTCGACAAAGGAAATTCTGGTCCCGTTGGTGGTCGTAAGTCGAGAACCACCTGTATCTCGCGGAGAAGCTGGTTTGCTTTGCACTTACAACGGAAGCATTTGAGACAAGAGTTTGTCCGTCTTCTGTTTTTCCACCTCCAATTCTTCCGTTCTCTCTCGGATTAATTCTTCCAGGTTGCTGGAATAGTTTTCTAGCATCCGCAGCATGGAGTCCACGATGTTCATCCGTTTTCCTTTGTTGATGGTTTTGAACTTGGGGAGAAAAAAAAAAAGAAAGGAATTGGGGATGGATTTGGCGGGACGCAACGTTGGTCATTCCACGAGGCAAAATGTAGTTTTTGTAGGCTAAATTGTGCGTTGGCTGGAAACAAGCCTTCCGGTCTCAGCGCAGAATCCGTTAGACCAGGGGGTCTCCAACCTTGGCAACTTTAAGACCTGTGGACTTCAATTCCCAGAATTCCCCAGCCAGCCATGAATGATAGAGTTGGAAGAGACCAGAAGGGTCATCTAAGTCAGGGGTCTCCAACCTTGGCAACTTTAAGACCTGTGGACTTCAATTCCCAGAATTCCCCAGCCAGCCATGAATGATAGAGTTGGAAGAGACCAGAAGGGTCATCTAAATCAGGGGGACTCCAATCTTGGCAACTTTAAGACCTGTGGACTTCAATTCCCAGAATTCCCCAGCCAGCCATGAATGATAGAGTTGGAAGAGACCAGAAGGGTCATCTAAGTCAGGGGTCTCCAGTCTTGGCAACTTTAAGACCCGTGGACTTCAATTCCCAGAATTTCCCAGCCAGCCATGAATGATAGAGTTGGAAGAGACCAGAAGGATCATCTAAGTCAGGGGTCTCCAGTCTTGGCAACTTTAAGACCCGTGGACTTCAATTCCCAGAATTCCCCAGCCAGCCATGAATGATAGAGTTGGAAGAGACCAGAAGGATCATTTAAGTCAGGGGTCTCCAGTCTTGGCAACTTTAAGACCCGTGGACTTCAATTCCCAGAATTCCACAGCCAGCCATGAATGATAGAGTTGGAAGAGACCAGAAGGATCATCTAAGTCAGGGGTCTCCAGTCTTGGCAACTTTAAGACCCGTGGACTTCAATTCCCAGAATTCCACAGCCAGCCATGAATGATAGAGTTGGAAGAGACCAGAAGGGTCATTTAAGTCAGGGGTCTCCAACCTTGGCAACTTTAAGACCTGTGAACTTCAATTCCCAGAATTCCCTAGCCAGCCACGCTGGCTGGGGAATTCTGGGAGTTGAAGTCCACACTTTTTAAAAAAATTATTTTATTTATGGTTTTCTCTTTAACATATACGAGTACTTAGTGAAGAGTACATTCTAACCCCTAATGCAACAATTCCCATATTAAGAAGTATTATACAGTATACCTATCCATCATCTCTTACCCGTTACTATTTAAGCATACGTAGCAGTAGTCTTTCAACTTCTAACATTTACATATACATAATAGTGATAGTAACTTATATCGTGTGGCAGTATGCATAATAACACTTTCCCAATTTCTAATTTCTAGCTCTATTTTCTAATCTTTAGTAAGACAAATCCCATATTAAGAGGTGTTCTGTATCTATCCATCATCTCTTGCCCTTTTTAGTATTTCAACTCTTATTGACTTTTTGACCAATCTCCCATGCTCCTCCCTTGGGATCTTATATCTGTCAACTCGCAAAGCATCCCTGGTCTGCTCTCGAGTTGCCATAGGCAAGGGGGATAGGAAACCGACGAAGCAGTACGGCAGCCAAAGACAGGAGCACATTCCAGACATATCTCTCTCAAGGCTGTCTCCCAGGGTTACCCACAGTGGCCGGAGGGGAGTGATCTCTACAACCCGCAAAATTGCTCCATTGGCGAATGTGATTGATGACACACTCTGGGGGAAGGGGGGAAACAGGATCATGATTGGGGCTGTAAATTACGTGGGGTCAGACTTGGCTTCATTTGGGAACCTGCCAACATGAAGCTCCTAATAAATAACTGGATTTCTTTTGAAGCTTGGCTCGAGGCTCATGATTTAATTGGGCATCCATCAGAACCCCGACAATATATATCACTCATGTTTAATCTAAGTATTTCCTCTGCTTCCACATCTGCCTCTCGCTGTCTACTCTCCACACATTCTCTGACACACAACCCTCCAACTTCTCTGAAGATCTCCAGTGAAGGAAAGAATACTTAACTTCATGTGTCAGTCTGTTCCACTGGCTAAAATTTCTTGCCACCGATACCTTCCTCCTAGCATCTCTCTTGCATCTATAGAGAGTCCTCAAATTACAACCAGTCACTAATGACCATTCAAAGTTATGATAGAACAGAATAACGGAAGGGACCTTGGAGGTCTTCTAGTCCAACCGCCTTCTCAAGCAGGATGCACCCCCCAAAAAAAAGCTATTTACGACCCTGTTTTGAAGTTATGGCCACTGCAGTGGTTCTGCAGTCATTCACCCTTATGACTGACCATAGAGATGCTGCTATGCCCCCTTCCCCACCTATCTCCCCCCTTGATTCCAACCTATCAGGGCCCCCCAGGAGTGGGGTCTGCTTTTACCATGTGGTGATTGGGCCCAAAGTCACTCAGCTGGCTTTCATGCCTAAGGCGGGACTAGAACTCACCGTCTCCTGGTGATTGGCCCAAAGTCACCCAGCTGGATTTCATGCCTAAGGCGGACTAGAACTCACCGTCTCCTGGTGATTGGCCCAAAGTCACCCAGCTGGATTTCATGCCTAAGGCGGACTAGAACTCACCGTCTCCTGGCGATTGGCCCAAAGTCACCCAGCTGGCTTTCATGCCTAAGGCGGGACTAGAACTCACCGTCTCCTGGTGATTGGCCCAAAGTCACCCAGCTGGTTTTCATGCCTAAGGCGGGACTAGAACTCACCGTCTCCTGGTGATTGGCCCAAAGTCACCCAGCTGGCTTTCAGACCTAAGGCGGGACTAGAACTCAGAGTCTCCTGGTGATTGGCCCAAAGTCACCCAGCTGGCTTTCATGGCTAAGGCAGGACTAGAACTCACTGTCTCCTGCTTTCCATCCTGGTGCCTTTACCACTGGACCAAATTGACTCTTAATATAATAAATAACTTTATTTATAATAAATAAATAAACCTGTTCAAAGATCTTGTTAAAGGTCGGCCTTCGATTGGGCACTTCACTCCAGCACTTCTTCATCAACTGGATATATTCCAAAGGGGTATTTTCCAGGGGACACTCGGACGAAACAACGTCAGGGGGTGCTTCAGTTTGCTTATAATCTCTGGGCCAAAGGGAAAAAAATCACAAAGAAGGTTCTTTTCATCAGAGGTTCACGCACTAATAATTCTTCTCTTCCCAAGTGGACAGAAGATATAGCTTTGTGCAATTACTCAGACACAGAAAATGGGTTAATTCAACGTACGACTTAAAGGTATTGTGCAAACCCAGTTATCGGAGAGATGAATTCTGGGACTTGAAGTCCACAAGTCTTAAAGTGTCCATAGTTGGAGAGACCTGTTCTAAGGAAGCCTCAGGGCCAGGCCTACCATGAGGCCCTCAACATGGCTGGCTGAAGAATTCTGGGAGTTGAAGTCCATAAGTCTTAAAGCGGCCATAGTTGGAGAGACCTGTTCTCAGGGAGCCTCAGGGCCAGGCCTACCATTAAGCCCTCAACATGGCTGGCTGAAGAATTCTGGGACTTGAAGTCCACAAGTCTTATAGTGGCCAAGATTAGAAATCACTGTTCTAAGGAAGCCTCAGGGCCAGGCCTACCATGAGGCCCTCCACATGGCTGGTTTAGGAATTCTGGGACTTGAAGTCCACCTGTCTAAATATTGCCAAGGTTGGAGACACTTGTTCTAAGGAAGCCTCAGGACCAGGACTACCATTAGGCCCCCAACAAGGCTGGCTGAAGAATTCTGGGACTTGAAGTCCACAAATCTTAAAGTGGCCATAGTTGGAGAGTCCTGTTCTAAGGAAGCCTCAGGACCAGGCCTACCATGAGGCCCTCAGCATGGCTGGCAGAGGAATTTTGGGACTTGAAGTCCACAAGTCTTATAGTGGCCAAGATTGGAGACCACTGTTCTAAGGAAGCCTCAGGACCAGGCCTACCATTAGGCCCTCAACATGGCTGGCTGAGGAATTCTGGGACTTGAAGTCCATAAGTCTTAAAGCGGCCATAGTTGGAGACACCTGTTCTAAGGAAGCCTCAGGGCCAGGCCTACCATTAGGCCCTCAACATGGCTGGCTGAAGAATTCTGGGAGTTGAAGTCCATAAGTCTTAAAGCGGCCATAGTTGGAGAGACCTGTTCTCAGGGAGCCTCAGGGCCAGGCCTACCATTAAGCCCTCAACATGGCTGGCTGAAGAATTCTGGGACTTGAAGTCCACAAGTCTTATAGTGGCCAAGATTAGAAATCACTGTTCTAAGGAAGCCTCAGGCCAGGCCTACCATGAGGCCCTCCACATGGCTGGTTTAGGAATTCTGGGACTTGAAGTCCACCTGTCTAAATATTGCCAAGGTTGGAGACACTTGTTCTAAGGAAGCCTCAGGACCAGGACTACCATTAGGCCCCCAACAAGGCTGGCTGAAGAATTCTGGGACTTGAAGTCCACAAATCTTAAAGTGGCCATAGTTGGAGAGTCCTGTTCTAAGGAAGCCTCAGGACCAGGCCTACCATGAGGCCCTCAGCATGGCTGGCAGAGGAATTTTGGGACTTGAAGTCCACAAGTCTTATAGTGGCCAAGATTGGAGACCACTGTTCTAAGGAAGCCTCAGGACCAGGCCTACCATTAGGCCCTCAACATGGCTGGCTGAGGAATTCTGGGACTTGAAGTCCATAAGTCTTAAAGCGGCCATAGTTGGAGACACCTGTTCTAAGGAAGCCTCAGGGCCAGGCCTACCATAGGCCCTCAACATGGCTGGCTGAAGAATTCTGGGAGTTGAAGTCCACAAGTCTTAAAGCGGCCATAGTTGGAGAGACCTGCCTTAGAAGACACAAAGCTTCAAGGGACAGCTATGCTGTCCTTGGTCCTGAAGCTCTAAATTACAGACAGCTCCACAGTATAAGTAGTCCTTGACTTACAACCGTTTGTTTACTGGCCGTTGAATGTCACAACGGCACTGAAAAAAGTAACTTCTTATAACCATTACAGCATCCTCATGGTCATGTGATCAAAATTTAGACATGTGTTTACAATAGTTGCGGTGTCCTGGGATCATGTGATCCCCATTTTTCAACCTTCCGACAAGCAAAGTCAACGGCAGGGGGGGGGAAAGCAGATTCACTTAATGACCGCATGATTTGCTTAACAACTGCAGGGGTTCGCTTAACAGCTATGCCAAGAAAGGTTATAAAATGAGGCAAAACTCACTCAACAACTGTCTTGCTTAGCAATGGAAATTGGGGGGGGGGGGGCCCGACTGTGGTCGTAAGTTGAGGAGTTACAGTGGAGTTAAGAGAGCACTTTAGGAGCTTCAAAAACTTTTGAACAGCAAGATAGCTGTCAGGTCTGCCATCTTCAGCTTCTTCACTTCGCTGGCATCCTGCCATAACTTGCAAGGGACGGGAAAGGAATTTGGAGTAGTAATATGTGGGCCTGGGAATCAGAAGACAAATGGTGGGACGGGTGACATGTTGGTACCTCGCTCAATAGTAGTAACTGTGAGAGGGATCTTGGAGTCCTAGTGGGCAACCATTTAGATATGAGCCAGCCGTGTGCAGCAGCTGCCAAAAAAGCCAACACAGTTCTAGGCTGCATCAACAGAGGGATAGAATCAAGATCACGGGAAGAGTTAATACCTCTTTATAAGGCCTTGGTAAGGCCACACTTGGAATCCTGCATCCAGTTTTGGCCACCACAATATATAAAAAAAAATGTTGAGACTCTGGAAAGAGCGCAGAGAAGAGCAACAAAGAGGATTAGGGGACTGGAGGCTAAATCATACGAAGAACGGTTGCAGGAACTGGGTATGTCTAGTTTAATGAAGAGAAGGACTAGGGGAGACATGATAGCAGTCTTCCAATATCTCAGGGGCTGCCCCAAAGAAGAAGGAGTCAAGCTATTCTCCAAAGCACCTGAAGGCATGACAAGAAGCAATGGGTGGAAACTAATCAAGGAGAAAAGCAACTTAGAACTAAGGAGAAATTTCCTGACCGTGAGAACAATTAATCCGTGGAACAACTTGCCTTCAGAAGTTGTGAATGCTCCAACACTGGAAGTTTTTAAGAAGATGTTGGATAACCATTTGTCTGTCTTTGATGAGAACCAGAGGTGCCAAACTGGAATGAACCTGCCTCCAAGGACATCTGGCTTGGTAACCGAATGCAAAACTGCGGTGCCAAACATTTTAGCCACTCCCAAAACATCCCAAAGGCATCCTATTGGACACTGGTGGACTGGCCATGGGGAGATGGCCAGGGAAAGGGGGGAAAGTGTAACCTTTGTGCAGGGATATTCAGATCTTGCTTTACTTTCGCTGCAACCACTTAACTTTAGTAAAAGAACCTATCCCTTCAATCAAATGGAGTCGAGAGTCTTTCTTTTCTAAACATCTAAATTGAGGCAGGACTGACAGTAGCTCACCTTCAGCAGTCAGTTCCATCATACAATAGGGAGGCCCTCGGAGAATTACTTCTTGCAGAATAATGGCAAAACTAAACACGTCGCCTTGCGAGGTGCCTTTGGGGTTAACTTCGGGCTCTCTCAGTAATTCAGGAGCGGTCCAGAGCAATTCTTTAAAAAAAAAATCAAAATACGGACCCCCCGTTAATCAGCAATTGGTTGCAGGGAGATTCTGTAATAATTGCTCTAGCTCTTACAATACTGATTAAAACGTTAGATAGCTGTTTATAACTATAGGTTAAACTTTAGGTTCAAATTGCAAACTTGAAACCGTTTCATCATTCTTTAAGAACCCTTACTTCCCTGCAAAGCATTCTGGGATTGAAAGTTGTTCGTGCATTCACTCATTTGGACTTTTATGGTTTTTGTTGTCTTTTTTTTCTGGTTTCTTTTCTAGGTGAATTTAAGGCCATTGAAAACATGAGGATAATTAAGATCCTTTCCTTTCTCTCTTGGTCCTTCCTCACTCCCTCTTTCTCTTGTCTCCTCCCCTTCCTTCTTTCCTTCCTTCCTCCTCCCTCTCTCCCTCCATCTTCCATTCCCTTCTCTCCTCCCTTCCTTTCCCTTCCCCTTCCTTCCTTCTTTCCTTCCTTCTTTCCTTTGTTCCTTTCTTCTTCCCTCCCTTTTTTCCTTCTCTTTTCTTCCCTCTCTCCCTCTTCCGTTGCCTTCTCTCCTCCTTTTCCCTCCCTTTCTTTCTTTCCTTTTTTCCTTGCTTGCTTCCTCCCTCCCTTTTCCCTTCTCTCTTTCCTTCCTTCCCTCCTTCCTTTCCTTCTTTCCTCTCCCTTCCCCTTCCCCTTTTCCCTCTCCTCCTTTGATGTTTTTTAAGCAGGAAATTAATCTGAATAGTCATCTATCAGAGAAGTACTGGCAGCTTCTGCACCAAGAATGGGGTTAGACTAGAAGACCTCTATCGTCTCTTCTAACTCTACAATCTATCTCTTCATTGCCTCTTTCTCTAGTCCACAGCATCCTAAAAATGATATAAGCATAATATCCAGAATTCCATTTATAGAAATTCACCCAAGTGCTCAATTTCTTCCTTAAGAAAAAAAACAACTGCTGAGATGGATGGCAAATAAATTAGACGCAGGCAGTCCTCGACTTACAACAGTCATTTAGTGACGAAAGTTTCAAAGTTACAACGGCACTGAAAAATGTGAGCCATGACCGTGAGCTATGACCGTTTTTCATCGTTACCAACTTCACAGCGTCCCCCGTAATCACGTGACCAAAATTCAGATGCTTGGCAACCGGTTCATACTTATGACCGTTGCTGTGTCCCAAGCTCACGTGATCCCCTTTTACGACCTTCTGGCAAGCAATGGGGAAGCCAGATTCACTTAGCAACTGGTTTACTAACTTAGCAACGGCAGTGACTCAGTTGTTTTGTGACTCAAAGGTCATAAAACGGGGCAAAACTCACTTAACAAATTTTTCACTTAACAACAGAGCTTTGAAGCTCAGTTGTGGTCATAAGTCAAGGACTACCTGTAAATAGACAGAAAGAGAGATACCTTCTGCAGAGGCCTGACTCTGGGAGACGCCCTGCGCTGCCATTAGCTCACTGTAACCATAATCAGTGATTTTCAACACAAACCGTCCATCCACCACACAGTTGCGAGATTTCAGGCGTCCATGGCTAATGTCCTGGTTATGTAAGTATTTCATGCCCTGGAAAAGGAAAAAAAAAACTTTGGTATTTTCTTCTTTGGCCAATAGAAGAAACACGGAAGCAAAAATAAACTACAGTAGTGGCCAAAATCGTGCAAACCTTTTGGGAAATGTGTATTTTCTAAAACTAGCTAATAACACCACTTTTTTTTGGAGTCGTTCCAGGGATGGGTTCTAAATTTTTTTACTACCGGTTCTGTGGGCGTGGCTTATTTTGTGGGTGTGGCTTGGAGGTCATGTGACTAGGTGGGCGTGGCTAGCTGGTCAGAGTCATTTCTGGAAGGTCCTCGCACTTATGACCAGTCCTCGCACTTACGACCCGACTCATTTGTTTGCTTTTAACTCTGATCAGCTGTAGGACGGCCCTTGGAAGCCCCGCGGCAAGAGTTTAAACAGTTTTTTTCCCTCTAGTCATCAGCTGGGACTCAGGAGGCAGCAATAGATTGGGGGTGGGACCAAATAAAAGGTAAGAATAACGTGGGGGGGGTGGGGGGGTGGGAGGGCGGACGGGAGAACCGGTTCGGGGACATCATATCGTCACCGCTACTGGCTCGGCCGAACGGAACCGAACCGGGAGGAACCCACCACTGAGTCGTACCCTAAAATTATATATCAATGGAAAGATAATTTAATCAAGAATGTAATGCAAGGACTTTCATGAAGGATTTGCTATTAGAATAGAAGTTACAGTATAAAGAAGAAAAGGGAAACATGTAGAAAAAACGAGATATACCAAAATTTATCACCATTGATAAAATGAGATATGCAAAAACGATCCCCATGTCAGTTAATGCTTAGTTGGGTAACCTTTAGCATGAATGATGGCCTTACAACGTCTTCCCATGGAGTGAACCAAGTCTTTGAGTTCTGTAGCTGTTCTAATGTGAAACCAAGATGGAATGGTGGCTTCTATTAACTGGGTTTTATTGCTGGGTTGCTTCTGACTAAACAATTTCTTTCATCAGCTCCCTAGATTTTCCATTGGGTGAAGGTCTGGGCTATTCCCAGGCCCTTCCAGCAGTGGAATAGGATTATCCTGAAACTCCAAAAAAAAAAAAAAAAGTGGTGTTATTAGCCATCAAACCTCAAAAATACACTTTTCCCAAAAGGTTTCCACAGTTTTGGCCACTACTGTAACCTTCAGAAATCAGCCCTCAAGATGGTGGTGAAATTTTTACCTCAGCTGGAAAAGGGCAAACTGGTTTTTATGAGGGCCACGGTCATTCTTTCTTATATCGCGGTGACCAAAATTGGATGCAGGATTCCAAGTGTGGCCCTACCAAGGCCTTATAAAGTGGTCTTAACACTTCTCATGATCTTGATTCTATTCCTCTTTTAACGCAGCCTAGGATTGTGTTGTCTTTTTTGGCAGCTGCTGCACATGGCTGACTCCTATTTAAGTGATTGTCCACTAGGATTCCAAGATCCCTCTCGTAGTTACTACTATTGAGCCTGGTGCCACCTATTCTACACCTGTGCATTTGGTTTTTCTTGCCTAAATGTAGAGCTCTCTACATGGGGCTCCCCCTGGGGTGCACCCGGAGGCTCCTGCTGGTCCAGAACACGGCCGCGCGGGGGATTATGGGGGCGACAAGGCGCTCCCATGTTACACCTCTCCTGCGCGAGCTGCAGTGGCTCCCGGTGGTCTTCCGGGTGCGCTTCAAGATGTTGGTGACCACCTTTAAAGCGCTCCATGGCTTAGGGCCGGGGTATTTACGAGACCGCCTTCTGCCACCAATAGCCTCCCACAGGCCAGTACGCTCGCACAGAGTGGGTCTCCTCAGGGTGCCGTCCGCCAGACAATGTCGGCTGGCGACCCCCAGGGGGAGAGCCTTCTCTGTGGCGGCGCCCACCCTCTGAAACAACCTCCCCCCAGAGATACGTACAATAACAGACCTCCGGATTTTTCATCGGGCCCTGAAAACCTATTTATTTCAACTAGCTGGGCTGGCTTGAGTTAAATTTTAAATTGATTTTAAATTGGGTTGTTTTAATTTACGGCCAAAATATTTAATTATTTTAAACTGCTTTTAAATTTTGTATGTTCTGTTTTTTACTTTGGCTGTTCACTGCCCTGAGTCCTATTGGAGAAGGGCGGTATAGAAATGGAAATAAATAAATAAATAAATAAATAAACCTTACGGCGACAGCAAATCAAGAAATTACAGGGAGGCTTACTTTAATTAAATCCAACAAAAGGGATGATTTAAACATCCAGTCCAGCTTTATGTCCATGTTTTGGAGCAAGTCCTGGAGACTTCCCCTGGAGCAGAAGTCCATCACAACTGCAGAAAGTCCCGTGTCAGATAAAAGACCTAGAAACGGATTCACGTTTTCATGGCGTAACTCCCTCATCTGCAGACAAATCGGAAAGGAAGAGAACGAGGAGAAACACCGGGTTAAGGTGTGTAGGTGGGGCACCGTTTGCCCACTCCCTAGCTACGTACCTTGGTAAGCACATGGGTTGCACGTGGCTTCCAATCCGTGGTCACTGCAGTCTCGAGTTTTTTCAGCCATACCCAGTCACCCTGTCCAAGCAGAAGAAGACTTTTTTAAACAGGTGTGGGATTCAGCCGGTTCAGATCTGTTCAGGCGTACCGGATACTAATTTTACAACTGGGCAGGGCAGGGTGGGCTAGCCCTGCCCACCCTGCCCTGCCCCTCCCAGGAGTCTCCACCCAACCATTTTGGATGCCAGGTAAGTGCAGTGCCCACGCGGAGGCTCTGGGAGGGCGAAAAACGGGCCTCCCGGAAATTCTGGAAGTCCGGAAACGACTCGTTTCTGGTCTCTGGAGGGCCTCCGGAGCCTGGGGGAGGCTGTTTTCGCCCTCCCGGAGACTCGAGGAAAGCCTCCAGAGCCTGGGGAGGGTGAAAAACAGGCCTCCCAGATGTTCCGGGAGTCTGGAAATGGGCCCGTTTCTGGCCTCCGGAGGGCCTCTGGAGCCCAGGGGAGGCTGTTTTTGCCCTCCCAGAGGCTCAAAGAAAGCCTCTGGAGCCTGGGGAGGGTGAAAAACGGGCTTCCCGGAAATTCTGGAAGTCCGGAAACGACTCATTTCTAGTCTCTGGAGGGCCTCCGGAGCCTGGGGGAGGCTGTTTTCGCCCTCCCGGAAACTTGAGGAAAGCCTCCAGAGCCTGGGGAGGGTGAAAAACAGGCCTCCCAGAAGTTCCAGAAGTCCAGAAATGGGCCCGTTTCTGGCCTCCGGAGGGCCTCTGGAGCCCGGGGAAGGCTGTTTTCGCCGTCCCGCAGGCTCGAGGAAAGCCTCCAAAGCTTGGGGAGGGTGAAAATGCCCCCCCCACCATAGTGCAGGAGGCCGAGTAGGCCACACCCACCATGGCGCCACCTCCACCCAGCAAACCGGCAGAGAACCAGTTGCTAAAAAATTTTAATCTCACCCCTGTTTTTAAACCAAAGTTCACATAACTATGGGTAGTCCGTGCATTTTTTACCTGCTTTCGAACTGCTAGGTTGGCAGAAGCTGGGACAAATCACGGGAGCTCACCCCGTTACGCGGCACTAGGGGATTCGAACCGCTGAACTGCCGACCTTTCAATCGACAAGCTCAGCGTCTTAGCCACTGAGCCACCGCGTCCCTTATACACATTATACGTTACCTCATACACAGCCACATTCGAGGTTTCATAGGTTAGAGTTGTGCTTTTCACCGACAACGAGTGAGTCACGGATCTCAAGCTGTGGACTTCGGAGCAGCTCCTTGATTCACTGAGATTGTCCAGAGTTAATCTCTGTGGAAGGCAAGCAATCACAGGCCAGAAATTAAGCAAAGATGGAAACCAGTGAGGGAAAGAACATATACGGGCAGTCCTTGACTTGCAACCATTCATTTAGTGACCGTTCGAAGTTACAATGGCAGTGAAAAAAAGGGACTTATGTCTGATGCAACCGGCCAGCATCTTGACTTTTTGGACACCTGGGCACACACCCCTTTAGTGTGTCAGCGAGCGATGGTCCCATATCACTTACCATTCTAGTGTCCCAAAAGTGCTTTTTCAAGAGGCAACTGGACTTCCTGGTTTTTCTCTGAAGACGTTTCGCTTCTCATCCAAGAAGCTTCTTCGGCTCTGAGTAGATGGTGGGGAATGGAAGGATTGATACTCCTTGCAGACAGAGCTGGTCATTTGCATTCTTTTAGAGCAGGGGTGTCAAACTCGATTTCATTGACAGCTGCATCGGACTTGTGTTTGACCTCGAGGGGGGAACGTGACCAGGATGGGTGTGGCCAGCATGATGTCACTTGTGTTTGGGGGCACCTGTGGTGGCCCGAACCAGAGGTGGTATTAAGCCAGTTCGGACCGGTTCAAGCGAACCGATTGTAGCGACTGTTGTGGTCCGCCAGCAGCCTGCGGAGCTGGCAGTGGAGTCGGACAGCGATGAGGCTGACGAAGAACATGGGCCAGTCCTGAAGGCTGGGGAAGGCCCGGACGAGGGCTCTACATCGGAGGCAGAGATGGGGCCAGGGCCATCGGGGAGTGATGGGCGGATTCCGGAGCCTCCAGAGGCTGACAGTACAGAGGCAGAGGAATAGGAGGAGCCTGTTCCTAGTGCACGTATGAGAAGAGCTGCCAGAAGGCAAGAGCAGCTACAGCAAAGAGGACGACTCAGGAGTAAGGCCAGGAGATGATTGGCCCCTCCCATAAGGCTTAAAAGACCAGCAACAGCTCTTGGGCTCTTTGTCGGAAAACAACATTGATAGACTTGTTCTTGTCTTGTTGCACTTATCTCTGGTCGGCATCTTCTGCTTCTGAACTTTTGCCAAGAGAAGCCTTTGGCAGTTTGCCTAATTACACCAAGGTTGGTGATTATACTGAAGAATTTGTGTTATGAAGAATTTGTTTTAATTTAGTTTGGACTATGCTGAGAATGAGTTAATTCTCAGCTGTTTTAATAAAGTCTGTTTTGGAACTGTTTAGGTCTAATACTACCTACTTGGGCCTGGGTCACAACAGCGACCTGCGGGTGGGGTGGGCCCAAACCCGTTCACCCGTCCCAGAGCTATGCTATCCCATTTATCCACGTTTTCAAGCCACATGCATGCATGCAAGCATGTGTGAGAAAATCACATGCCCGGAAGGCCGTGTGCATGCACTCTCTCACATTTTCAGTGCTGGGCGAACCGGTAGGTAAATTATATGGATCCTACCTCTGGCCTGAAGTCTCTGCCAGCGAAAACTGGCTCCCGAGTTCCGTTTTCGGCTGGGACAGCCTCCTGCAATCTTTTGTCGGTGAAAATGGAGCTCGGGGGGGGGGCAGCCCCCACGAGCTCCATTTTGATTGGCAGAGGCTTTCCGGGCCGGTGCTTCACTGTTTCCAGGGCAGCCCCGTGGGCCAGATTTAAGCACCCCACGGGCCTTGACATCCCTGTTTTAGAGAGTCTTTGAGGTTACCTGGAGATTTATCTGTGTCCTCAGAGGCACCTGAGTGGTGCAAAGGGGTGTGGAGCAGTGGTGGTATTCAGATGGTTCTATCCGGCTCGGGCGAATTGGTAGCGATGGCTGTGGGAGGCTCCGCCCACCCGCCCTGACCTCATCACGTCCCATTTTTGACGATCTGTGCATGTGTAAAAGTCCCTCACATTTGTGAACCGGTAGTGAAGGTAACTGAATAGCACCCCTGGTGTGGAGCCTTCTTGGAGCTATTGAAAGAACTGTGTTGTAGATTTGAGATAGATCAGGGATGAAATCCAGCAGGTTCTGGCGAACCGGTAGCGGAAATTTTGAGTAGTTCGGAGAACCGGTAGCGGAAATTTTGAGTAGTTCAAAGAACCGGCAAATACCACCTCTGGCTGGCCCCAGAGTGGGTGGGAATGGGGATTTCTCAGTATCCTTCCCCTGCCATGCCCACCAAGCCACGCCCACCAAGCCACGCCCACAGAACCGGTAGTAAGAAAATTTGGATTTCACCACTGAGAAAGATGATATCGTATCCCACCCCCTCTGTTGAGAGAGGGCTGTTCAATTTTGATCTACATGGCCTCTTCGACCCCTCTTTCAAACCAGCAGTCCTCTCCATCCAAAATGTGGATTTTGCTGCCTTCGAAAGTGTGGCCTTTGTCTTTCAGGAGCTGAAGAAGCTTCTTGGATGAGAAGCAAAATGTCTTCAGGGAAAAATTAGGAAGTCCAGTCGCCTGTTGAAAAAAAGCAGTTTGGGACAAAAAAAGTTTGGGACAACTTGGATGACGGAGAATCTCCATAGACATTTACCATTCTACTGATTTTGGTGTTCACGAAAGTTAGATCGTCTAAAGTCAGAAACAGCCTCTGCGACCCTTTCGCGAACCGGCGGTCAGGATTACTGTTTCTGAAAAAGAGATCAAAAACATGCCTAAGTCTTTGGCCACATAAATGTGCATTTTTATTTTATTTATTTATTTGGATCCCGCCTTTATTATTTTTACAAATAACTCCAGGCGGTGAACATATCCGCGACATATATCCATCTTCTGGTGATTGGCCTAGGTATCCCAACAGGTCTCTGGAACCCCAAAAACTCTTTTGAGTAAACAATTACAGGTAGTCCTCGACTTACAACAGTTCATTTAGTGACCGTTCAAAGTTGCGACACTGAAAAAAAGTGACTTTTGACCGTTTTTCACACTTACGACCGTTGCGGCATCCCGATGGTCATGTGATCAAAATTGGTTCGTATTTATGACCGTTGTTGTGTCTCAAAGTGAAGCGATCCCATTTTGTGGCCCTATGACCAGCAAAGTCAACGGGGAAGCCAGATTCACTTAACAACCGAGTTGCTAAATTATCAACTGCAGGGGAGTCACTTAAGCACCGAGGCAGGAAAGGTCGTAAAATGCGGCAAAACTCACTTAACAAATGTCTCACTTAACAACTGAAATTTTTGGGACTCAATTGTGGTCGTAAGTCGAGGACTTCCTGTAAGGTAGGAGCTGTATAGATTGGCCAATTGACACCCCTTCTAACTCTAAGGCAGGGTTGCAACTCATCTTCGATTTAGTTGCTAAGTTTGCACAACGCAGGGGTATCAAACGCAGGGGTATCAATGCAGGGGTATCAAACTCAAGGCCTGTGGGCCACATCTGGCCCATGGGTGTTTAAATCCGGGTCACAGGGCCGGCCTGGAAATAGCAAAGGACCTACCCGTGGTGCCTCTGTGTTGCTAGTTTGGTTATCCTGGTTAGGCCCATATATAAGAGACTGTTAGGCTTTCTTGTAATAGTAATATTTATTTCTTTTCTTCCTCAGGAACACAATTAGACAGGCACTAATCTGGGAGGAGCAAGAACTTATATACAGAGAAGGCGGGGCTAATGGTAAGTACTAACCAATGGTAAGTGACACAATGACATCACACAATGACATATAAACAAGCACACATATTTACAGATATCAGGTTAGGTATTTTCATCTGTAACAAATCCCCCTCTAAAATACCTAACTAATGGTGGGTTATTAAGATTATATATGCACATCAAGTTTGGAAGTCAAATACATATGTTGTTTGGTTGGCAATGGCTTAGTGAGGATATCAGCAATTTGTTCACTAGTATTGCAATGGATAGCTTTAATAAATCCTATACTTGACAGTTGTCTTACATGTTTATATTTTATATCGATATGTCGAGATCGTTGACCTATTGCTTCGGAAGCTGATATATCAATTGCTGCCTTATTGTCCTCATTGATAATAATTGGATAAACAGGTTCATCCCACACATTGGTTAACAAGTCATCGAACCAAGTTAGATTGTTGACCGCTTTGGATAAACAAACATATTCGGCTTCCGCTGTGGAAGTGGCAATTAAATTCTGTTTGCCTGTGTACCAGTGCACCGCACAGCCATTTATAAGAAAAACATATCCAGAAGTACTTTTTCTGGTTTTTGAATCAGTAGCCCAATCAGCATCAGCGTAGCAGGTCAAAGTTGGTTTTTCAGAAATGAATGGTTCTAAGAATAAGCACATATCAATGCTAGACTTTAGATATTTTAGAATCCTCTTAATTCCTTCCCAGTGGTATGAGTTAGGATTGCTTACATGTCTTGACAACAAATTTACAGCAAGGGTGATATCAGGCCTGGTCCAATTAGATATGTATAATAAGGACCCAATAATTGATCGATATAACGTGTTATCCTTGAATGGTTCGTACTCATTATACACATTCCTATAAAAATCAGTTGACATAGGAGTATCACAAATTTTTGAATTAATTAAATTACATTTTTGTATGAGTTCCATAATCTTGTCTTTCTGAGATAATTTGAACCCCTTATCTGTTTTGTCAATTTGGACTCCTAGATACTTATTTACCTTTCCTAATATTTTTAAGTTGAAATTTTTGCCTAGTTGTTCAGCGAAATTATCACATTTAATTTTGTCGTGTCCAAAATACAATATATCATCAACATAAATCAAAACATATTCAATAGAATCATTATTTTTTTTTTGTGAAAAAACAAAAATCAGATGAAGTAGCTACAAAACCCATATTTTTAAGTATCTTTGATAAGCACTCATACCACCGCTTACCGGACTGTTTTAGTCCATAAAGGCTCTTGTTTAATAGCCAAATTTCTCCCTTTTTTGTATCCTTTCCTGGGGGTGCTTTCACATAAATTTCTTTATCTAGATCAGCGTGCAGATAGGCTGTCTGCACGTCAAATTGATATACTTCCAGATTTAAGATAGAAGCTAACACTAGTGCTGTTTTCACGCTTTCTGATCTAACGGTTGGGGAGTAAGTGTCTTCATAGTCATCCGGAAATCTTTGGGCAAAGCCTTGAGCCACCAACCTGGCTTTGTATAGGAATTTACCATCCTCTAGCTCCTTGATTTTATAGATCCACCTAGTGCCAATAGGGGATTTCTCAGTGGGCAGGTCTGTTGGTGTATATACATTTAGTTCTCTCAAACTGTCCATCTCTTTTTTCATTGCTTCCTCCCACTTACTTTTTTCTTCTAGGGGTAGCTTAAGTATGTCATCATATGTGTTAGGAGTCAGGTGTTTAGCTTGGATAGACAGTACGTAATCATCTAATCTTTTAGGAATTATGCCCCTATTGGATCTAATGGGCCTATTCTGGGGATGTTCATCGCTATGCATATACTTAGCTTCTTTTTCAGTTAATTGATCTACTTTCAAAGTGGGGTGTCCTTTTTTCCATTCATCATTAACTATTACTGGGCATTTGATTCTGTTAGTAGATGTGGATTTGGGGTTCGTATCTGATGTGTGATGTTTTGCGTGCGTGTGTGTAATATTTTTTGATTCTGGGTAAATTTCATTGAGATGTAATTTTGACCAGTTCATGTGTTCATGAAACACGGCAGATCTGGATACAATGAAGTGATTATTTTTATCAATGAAGCGATATCCCTTGGTTCCTGATTCGTACCCCATAAATATCAGTCTTTTGGATACTTTCTCTCCTTTGCGTCTTAACTGTGAGGGCACATATACATCAGCAGATACACCAAATACGTGTAAATGCCCAATTTTTGGTTTCCTTCCATACATGAGTTCGTATGGGGTCTTATTGATTGTACTGGACCATAAGCGATTTATAGTGTAATTGGAATAATTAAGGGCTTCAGCCCAGAATGACTGGTTTAAACCAGCATCATCTAACACACATTTAACCATGGTTTGTAGCAAACCATTCTTCCTTTCAGAGACTCCATTTTGGAATGGGGAAAATGGACAAGATTTAAAGTGCAATATTCCTTGTGATTTTAGCCAAATTGAAAATTCGTTGGATAGGAATTCCGACCCCCTGTCAGTCATTATTTGTTTGATTTTGGTATTGTATTGTGTTTCTACCATTTTAAAGAACTCCTTAAATTTTTTGAAAACCTCACTTTTGTGGTTAAGGGTGTATACAAAACCAAATCTACTATAGTCATCGACTATGGTCAGGAAGTATCTTTTTTTGTATTTAATTGAAGGTTTTAATGGGCCTACTACATCCATATGAATTAGTTGAAAGGTTGATTGTGTGGTGCGGGTGGCTTTTTTGGGTTTTGGCTTGTTTTTAATTTTGGAAGAATTGCATACAGAGCATTCTAAGTAATTTTTACAGTTCTTTATTTTTAAATCTTCGGAACACTCTAACATTTTTCGTATGACTGGAAAGCTCGCGTGTCCTAGCTTTCTGTGGAGTAAGTGACTACAATTATCGTGAATAGGTTTTCCATTGTTTAAATTTTCAGACATATTAGTATCAGTGTTTGATGCATTCTTATCATTATTTTCATCATGGCTATCTGAATTTGGTTTTTTGTTTCTTAATTGATAGTTTGCATAGACTAGTTCGTTATCTTGTGGCAGTAGGTATGTTAGTCCATCATTTGTAAATAGTTTACCTATGTTTCTGTTGTTCTTAGTCATGAATACCTTTCCACCTCTGAAAGTGGTTTCTATTGCATTGTCTATGCTTAACTTTAGGGTTGCCAATATGTTATTTGGAATTTCGGGCACAAATAGTACCCCCTCTATTTTTCCTATACCTTTTATATGCGTGTCTCCTATTCCTCTCACTAGGACTCTATTTTGGTTTGCTACTTTAATATAATATTTCTTTTCAGTGAAGTTACTTAATATTTCTCTATTATGAGTTGTATGGCATGTGGCTCCTGAATCTATGAGCCAGGTGTTGAGTGAATCAGATATCAAAGTGTTATTATTTCTTATTCCATATAGTGATCCTTTCTTATTTTCTCTAGGGTTATTTCTGTATGTTTGTCTTTCTCTAGAGTGTGGTGATTCTCTTCTCTTATACCTGTAATCTGGGGAGGTTCTGTCTAAAAAGTGTATTCTTCTATCCTTGTGTTTATATGAGTCACTGTATCCTATATTCTTGGGACAGTCTCTACTCTGATGTCTTTCAGATCCACATGTGAGACATTCATGTGGGTATCTGTCTCTGGCCCTGAAATCAGTCCTTCTTTGATTTCTACCTTCTCTTTGTTGTGTATATCGCTCTCTTCTAAGTCTATCTTCAGTAATAAGCTTATTGGTAAGGTTTTCTAAAGTAATTTGCTCTATACTTAGGTTATCTATTAGTGTAATGTAGTTATCCCAGCTGTGATCTAGTGAGTTAATTATAATGCTTTTCATGGTGTTGTCAGAAATGGTTTCTCCCCTTTGAATAAGGTCTGCTCTTACAGCGTTTAAATTCAAGATATGCTCACTCATGGATGTATCATGTTTTAGTTTGGCAGAATAGAATTCCCTAGAGATTTTTGTGGTAGTGGCTACATTTTTGCTATAGAACAGTCTGAATAATTTTTGATATACTTCAAATACAGTTAAATTATGCTCTATACTGGGGAGTATACTTGGGGAAATAGAAACAATTAACATATAGTATGCTTTGTGGTGGAGGCAGTCTATTTCATAGGTCCAAGGCTTATTTGGTGGGTTATCAATAAAAAATAAAACATTTTCTTTCATATATACAATCTGTAAACACTGATCCCATTCCATTAAGTTGCTTCCATCTAATTTCAATTTTATAAAGTCTGGAGGTATTGTCCCTGAGTGTAGTGAGGTGTTATTCATGTTTAGTAGCTGTCCATGATTTAAGACCTTAGCATACTCACAATAAGGCCTGGGTATGGTAGATGTATGTCTGTATTTACTTATCTCTATGTTGCGCTGACTTGTATTTATGTTTCCTTCTTCTTTCTTTGCAGGCTCGTTCTGGGCATGCTCAGTCCTCATTTTTCTCCAGCAGTCGATGAGGGAGGTTCCTGTGTCTGCAGCTCCTGGGGTGAAGTCCCAGACGGCCTTCTGTTGCTCTGCTTTGTTTCCGGAGGGCCTCTGGTGACTGAAGAATGCCTGGGGTGCTGCTCTGCTCATCGGGGAGTCTTCTCTGAGGTCGTCAGTAAGTGGAGCTTGAGGCGGGCCGCCATTGCCAATGGAGCCGGGTTGTTCAGGGAGCTGCTCTTCAGTAGGTAAGTATGATTGCCAGCTTGTCTTTCTTCGGGTGGCTAGGCCTTTCTTTAGACAGTCTATTTCTTTTTGGCCTTTGGTAGATGGTAGTTTAGAATTTTCTATTTCATTTTCTGGTTGTTTGTTTGGTATTGTTAGTTTAGTCCCGAGTGCTGCAGTTAGCACCTGTATAGCATTGTCTATTTCTACTTCAGTAGGTTGAGCTTTGTTTTGTTTAAATAATTGTTTTTTATTTGTTTTTGGACTCGGGTAATCATCTTCTTGGTAGGTTTTGTTTTTTATTTCGTAGTTTGAGGTTTGGAATTCTTTTAGTAATTGGTCAGGCATTTTAGAGGTATTAGGTGGGTAAGATGGCTGCCATGAAAAAGGCGGGAAGCTGTCGCCATCTTTGGTGTCATTTTTGAAGTCAGGGGTTGAATTTCTTACCTTGCAGTTTTCTTGTTTGTTATTTTCGTTATCTGCTGCTGTTCCGTGGTCGTTTATTATGCTGCGGATTTTCACAAGCAGATTTGATTCAGCTGTAGTTGTTTCTATTAATTCTAGTATTTTTCTTTTTACCTCATCTTCTTTGTTTGGTGTTAGCAGTTCATTTTCTTGTAATTGCGTTTGTTTCTTAATATTTTCAAGTGGTGTATATTTGTCAGGAGTTAGTTGAGCTGCCATTCTTTTCGTTATGTATCTGGTGGCAGGTCTTCTTTTGTCGTTATGTGAGTCTTGCATCTTTATGTTCGGTTGGGCCTACCAAACCATCCTCTTGCTACCAATTTGTTGCTAGTTTGGTTATCCTGGTTAGGCCCATATATAAGAGACTGTAGGCTTTCTTGTAATAGTAATATTTATTTCTTTTCTTCCTCAGGAACACAATTAGACAGGCACTAATCTGGGAGGAGCAAGAACTTATATACAGAGAAGGCGGGGCTAATGGTAAGTACTAACCAATGGTAAGTGACACAATGACATCACACAATGACATATAAACAGCACACATATTTACAGATATCAGGTTAGGTATTTTCATCTGTAACACTCTGGCAGCCAAAATGGGGCACAGGCAGTTGTGGGATTCAGCCGGTTTGGGCCGGTTCAGGCGAATCAGTAGTTAAATTGCTGGCTGGCCGCACCCCTTCCAGGAGTCCCCATGTGCCCCATTTTGGCTCCCAGGTAAGTGCAGAGAGGCCTACTAGGCCCAAAACGGGGTGCGGGCACTGCGGCGTGCCCCCCCTCCTTCGTGGCCCGTTTTAGCCCCAGGAGGTTTCAGGGAGGCCTACTAGGCCCAAAACAGGGTGGGGGGGCAGCACATCCCCCCCGCGGCCCATTTTTGCTCCCAGGGGGTGCAGGAGGCCGAATGCTGCCTGTCACACCCACCCAGCCGGTCATTAGGGCAGAGAACCACTTGTTAAATTATTTGAATCCCAACATTGGGCACGTGGGGCCACACAAGGCCCTCCCATGCCCCATTTTGGCCAGCAGAGTGCTGCAGGAGGCCATCCAGGCCAAAAATGGGGCACACGGGGGTTGCACATGGCCGCCCCATGCGCTGTTTTGGCTGGCAGAGTGCTTTGGCAGGCATCCGTCCCATCTCCCCACTCCCCCACGCCGGCCCGCAAAGGAGAACTACAATTCTGATCCGGCCCTTGAAGAAATCCAGTTTGACACCCCTGCCTTAGAGTTGTTCCAACGAAAACTAGGAGATACAATCTCTGGTATCAGATATAGAAAGAGTCCAGCTGCAGCGAGTTTTCTTTGGCTCCGTTAGTAACTTTGCATTAATATTATTTTTCAGAGGTGAGGCAGGGAGCCAGTTATTTCTCTCTCCCGGCTTGAATTGTCAGAGGAATCCAAGCATCTGGCTTTGCAATAATTGCCCTTTAAAATTTCTTTACTTAGCACAATTTATTTCCTGAAATCATTAGCTAATTGGGCCACCCAGAAAAAAGCTCCTGAGAGAGATAAAGGATGCTCCGGTCCAGCTGTGAGCAAAATCTGGAGTGGATTCCTGGTTGAGGATGGGTCGAGACTGATTGTGCCATTGTGAAGATGGGTCTGTCTGCAGGGTGAGGTCAAAAGAGTCAAGATGGCGGCCCCAGAAACTCAGCCGAAGCTCCGCCTGCTTTTTAGGCACAAAACAGGCGAAACTGCTGTGCCTCCCATCTTAACTTTTGAATCGCTTGATGGCATTATTATAAAATATACCGTATTTTTCGGAGTATAAGACGCACTCTTTTCCTTCCAAAAAGAGGCTGAAAATTTGGGTGTGTCTTATACTCTGAATGTAACCCCACCCGCCCACCGGCCCCCACCCTTCGGCCTCCGCGCATCCTCTTCCTGGCTGCAGAGATTGCCACCGACAATGGCTTGTGTTTTTCGGCTCCATGCGTCCCCGTTTTCAGCCTCCAAATGCTCCATTTGAGAGCCCTTGAAGGCTGCGGGGATCGCCAAAGCACATTGCCGCTGATCGCCACATGTAAACGTGACACGTTTGGAGGCTAAAAACGGGACACGCGGTGCCCAAAATGGCTGCTGCCTTCTCTTACCCCTTCTGCGCTTCGCCTGCTTTTTCAGCCCCAAGGTGAGCTAAGCGATCTTCCGTGCTTTGCCTGCTTTTCTAATTGCTGCTCCCTCCAATGATCAGCTGTGCTTTAGAAGCTGTTTTTTAGCCCCAACCAGCCCCAACTTCAAAACCAGCGAGCGAACTAATGTGCTGAAGCTGACCAGACTAAGGACTAGCCAGAGGAATACCTGGTAGGCAGATTTCCCCCACCCCCCCTATTTTCCTCCCCAAAAACTAAGGTGCATCTTTATTTATTTATTTATTTATTTAATTTGTATACCGCCCTTCTCCCAGAAGGGACTCAGGGCAGTGAACAGCCAAAATTAAAAAACATACAAATACAAAAGTTAAGATAATTAAAAAAAGAATTAAATCATTGGCTTCACAAGTTAAAACCCCCAAGTCTATAAAATTTAAAATCCCAATTAAGAACCATTTAGGCTAGGCCGGCTTGGTGGAATAAATAAGTCTTCAGGGCCTTACGGAAGGTCCGGAGGTCCGGGATCAGTCGTATTCCAGGAGGTAGCTCATTCCACAGGGCGGGTGCCCCCCCAGAGAAGGCTCTCCCCCTGGGGGCCGCCAGCCGACATTACCCGACCAACGGCACCCTGAGGAGGCCTTCTCTGTGAGAGCGTATTGGCTGGTGGGAGGTTATCGGTAGCAGCAGGCGGTCTCACAAATACCCTGGCCCTAAGCCATGGAGCGCTTTAAAGATGAGAACCAACACCTTAAAGCGCACCCGGAAGACCACCGGGAGCCAATGCAGCTCGCGCAGGAGAAGTGTTACATGGGAGCGCCACGTCGCTCCCATAATCACCCGCGCGGCCGCATTCTGCACCAGCTGGAGCCTCCGGGTGCTCCTCAGGGGGAGCCCCATGTAGCCCCATGTCTTATACTCCGATGCGTCGTATATTCTGAAAAATACGATAACTAGCATATACAGATAGTTTTCGACTTGCAATCATTCATTTAGTGAACATTCAAAGTTACAATCATCATCATCATCATCTTTTAATGACCCCATAATCCCTTGTGGGGTGGAGTCTGGGCAACTGAATGGAGCTAGCAGAGTGTTTACTGGCCGGATGCCTTTCCTGTTGCCAATGTGGAGTTTTGTTCAGGAGATATATTCTCATTGTGCCCAGAGAGAGAAATATCTGCCTCTACCTAGGATCAAACTCACAGCCTCCTGATTGTGAGGCGAGAGCTCCACCTCTCGGCCACCGCTCCACTCCTACCATTTAAAGCGACAATGGCATTGACAAATGCTGACCTGATGAGGCACGTCAGGTACAGGCCGAAGAGAAGCAGAAAGAGAGGCGGTGACAGTAGTAGAATCACAATCCGCAGTCCTGGATCTGGCCAAACAAAGAGAGATCAAACAACGATGGTTTAGAATTGACCGATTTGCGTGCGAGGACAGATAGTCGTCGACTTACAACCATTCGTAAAGGAGAATATTTGTAACGCGGGGATTGAAATGTGGGGTCCTTGGTTCTTTCTGAGCTTGCTTGTTTTCTTGCAGGCATTTCATGACCCAACTAAGGAACATCATCAGTCTAGAAGGGAGTGGGGTTTATGAGGAGGAGGAGGAGGAAGAGGGGTGTGCTCTCACTTTATGTTCTCCCACTGCCTTCTAACACTGATGATGTTACTCAGTTTGGGTCATGAAACATCTGCAAGAAAAAAAACCAAACTCAGAAAGCATCAAGGAACCCCATAGTCCTTCTCTCCCTCTTCTTCTCTTTCTTCTCCTCGTCCTCCTCCTCTCCACAAACTCCACTCTCTTCTAGTACTGATGATGTTACTTAGTTGTGTAATGAAATGTCTGCAAGAAAACAACCAAGCTCAGAAAGCACCAAGGATCCCACTATCTTCCTCCTCCTCCTCCTCCTCCTCCTCCTCTTCCTCCTCCTCCTCTCCACAACCCTCCTCCTTTCTATCACTGATGATGTTACCTATTTGGGTAATGAAACATCTGCAAGAAAGCAAAAATGCTTAGCAAGCACCAACCGTCCCACATTATTCCTCCTCCTCCTCCTCCACCTCCTCCTCCACCACCAACTCTTCCAACTCCTCACAACCCTCCTCCTTTCTATCACAGATGACATCACCTACTTGGGTCATGAAACATCTGCAAGAAAAAAAACCAAACTCAGAAAGCACCAAGGACCTCTCCAGTAAGTACATTCATAGTTGGTTGGTTGGTTGTTAACCCCCTTTCAAGATGTTATAAACTCGTGATGGTGAACCTATGGCCGTGATGGCGAACCTATGGCACGACAATCTATGTCGCCTGGCACACCAGCTCAGCTCTCTCTAGGAGTCTCTGGAGGCTGGGGACAGCAAAAAAACGTTACTTCCTGTCCAACCGAAAGTTGGAAAACGGGCCGTTTCGGGCCTCCGGAGGGCCTTTAAGGTGGTGGGGAAGGCTGTTTTTGCCCTCCCCAGATGCATAGAGAGGATCTGGAGCCAGGTGAGAAAGAAAAACGGGCCTACTGGGCCATCGCATGCCAGGAGTTGGGGGGAAGGGGGGTCATGTGAGCATGCACAGGGCGGGCCGCATAGAATTATGGGTGTGGGCACGTGTACGAACCTCCCCCGCCCCTCCTCTTTCTAGCATGCGATGGCAAAAAGGTTAGCCATCACGGACTTATGGCATGAGTGCCAGAGGTGGCACACAGAGCCCTCTCTGTGGGCACATGCACCGTCGCCAGCTGCTCTAATGGTTTCCAGATGTGATACTAACAGGCGTCATCTCTTTCGCAGAGGACGTCGGGTTCAAACCAGCAGGCCGAGTCAACTGGGGGCGATCTCCCCCCAGGGAAATGGATTGCCCTCCCCAAGGGCTGCATCATGCCCGAAGATGCCTCCAGCAGGTAAGTGGGGTACAGGTGACTTTCTTTGCCATCCGTGTCCAGAATCACGTATCTGGCCAACGGCCTTCCTTTGCTGTCGACTTGAATCCTGTGGCTGAAGCCGGCAAAGTCCAAATTTCTGACATGATGAATCAAAGTTGTTCCCAAGAGTTCAGAAGTTTGGGGCCGAGCTACCTTGGCTAGGACTTTGGTGAGCAGGTAAATGGCATCGTAGATTGTCCCAAAAAGTGGAGTGACCTGCAGAAGAACACAAGACGGAAAAAAATAGGTTTTTAGGTGTTTATTTCATTTGTCTATATCCCGCCTTTATTATTTGTACAAATGACTCAAGGTGGAAAATACCAGCCCACCTTCCTCCTCCTGTTTTCCTCACAGCAACAACCCTGTGAGGTGGATCAGGCTGAGAGAGAGAGCCACAGGCCAAAGAACCCCAGCTGGCTTTCGTGGCCAAAGTGGGACTAGAACTCACCATCTCCTGTTGATTGGCCCAAAGTCATCCAACTAACTTTCCTGCCTAAGGTGGGACTAGAACTCACAGCTTCCTGGTGATTGAGCCAAAGTCACCCAGTTGGCTTTCATGCCAAAGCAGAACTAGAACTCACTGTCTCCTGGTGATTGGGCCAAATTCATCCAATTAACTTTCCTGCCTAAGGTGGGACTAGAACTCACAACTTCCTGGTGATTGGGCCAAAGTCACCCAGTTGGCTTTCATGCCAAAGCAGAACTAGAACTCACTGTCTCCTGGTGATTGGGCCAAATTCATCCAACTAACTTTCCTGCCTAAGGTGGGACTAGAACTCACAGCTTCTGGTGATTGGGCCAAAGTCACCCAGTTGGCTTTCATGCCAAAGCAGAACTAGAACTCACTGTCTCCTGGTGATTGCTTCCTGCAATAACACCAGCAGAACTGCAAAAAACTGCGCTACTCGGAACATCATATTGTCAGCACCTCAGCGCTGACATAGGAAGGGAGATAAGCCCTGAACTTTTGCCTGCTAAATCCCTTTGAAGCCCGGTCTCCGTGGAAATGAAGATGGGGGGGAACATTCCTGTGAAATGACGAGACAAGAAGTCAGGAGAGTGACTTGGAAGATAGCCAATGAGAAGCAGATAATTGGGGATCGAAAGGGAGGGATTGGGGGGCAAAAGGTCAGTCTTGTCCGCATCGAGTCATGATCCGGTTGCTGTGCTCGAATAAAGAGAAGATTTCCTTAAAGATTGGCAGTTTGGAAATTCATTTATTTTGAGATAGCATCGAAGTCTGACATATATATTTTAAGCAGGTACTTGGTTGATACCTAGGATGTTGGCAGCAACCTGTATCAACTATTAGCACCAGTCAATGGTATTTGTGATGCATTTTTAAATGTTCAGTTGACTGAATTTCATGTTTAATGAATAAAAGAGATGATGATGATGATGATGATGATGATGATGGTGGTGGTGATGATGATGATGATGATAATAATAATATTAGCCTTTATTGTCATTGTAAATCATGAATACAACAAAATAGGTTGTATATCAATTGTATATCTATCAATTGGCCTAATGAAAAAAATCATGGTAGAAAGACCAACAGATTAATTTTACCCTTGCTTAATTTCAGTGGGTGGGCATGAAGGAATATTGCTTGGACCATGGTACCGATCCATCGAGATTGGTTAGATTTTGCCTGGAACAATCATGCGAATCCAGAAAACGCATAATTTCTATAATCAGGTTAATTGTATTGTGTGAAGGCAGCCAGGTTGAAAATTCAGTCGGACTATGGCATCCTCGCGAATACATTACGGCTGCACACAGAATGAAGGACTTCAAGGAACAGGTAGTCCTTGATTTACAGCCGTTCATTTAGAGACGGTTTCAACTTCTGACAGCACTGAAAAAAAGGACTTATGACCATTTTAATTGGGGAATTTTATGGGCAAGGGGTTTTAAATTGGAGAAGCCAAAGATAATTTAATTTTGTTTTAATGTATTTTAATATTTGTATTGTGTGTTTTTAATTTTGGCTGTTCACCGCCCCGAGTCCTTCGGGAGAGGGGGCGGTATAAAAATTTAATAAATAAATAAATAAATAAATAAATAAATAAATAAATAAATTTTTCACATTTATGACCATAGCAGCGTTCCCGTGGTCACGTGATCAAAATTCAGACACTTGCCAACTGACTCATATTTATGACGGTTGCAGTGTCCTGAGCTCATGTGATCTCCTTTTGCGACCTTCTGACAAGCAAAATCAATGGGGAAGGTAGATTCACTTAACAACCGTGTTACAAACTTAACCACTGGAGGGATTCACTTAACGACTGTGGCAAGAAAGTTTGTAAAATGGGTCTGAACTCACTTAACAAATGTCTCACTTAGCAGCAGAAATTTTGGGGCTCAGCTGTGGTCATAATTCGGGGACTACCTGTAGATGAGACTGACCTGTTCTGGTTCCAAATCTGCTTTTATTTCGCCTTTTTCTTTAGCCGCTTGGAAAGCTTGGTAGAAAGTCCGTTCTCCAGACTGCAAGGTAATTGTCAGCACCGCGTCATAAGCCTTCCGGAAGGCTCCATCGTTTTCCAGAAGGAAATAGGAATGGTTTCCGTAGGGGAGGCTGTAGAAGAGAGTATCGTAGGGCACAAAGACGTATCTGCCGTCAGCCAGTCCGAGTTCCTGGGCTTTGCTTAGAAATGTCGCTTGGTCTTCGCCTCCGATGAGAGCAGATGCCATGCAGAGGAGAAGGACTGAGGGGAGGAAAGGAAGGGGTTAAAGCTTTCTGTTTACACAGGAAAGGAAGGGAAAGAAAAACAGAATTAATAGCAAGAGTTGGAAGGGACCTTGGAGGTCTTCTAGTCCAACTCCCTGCAATAGGATGAACATCCATCCAGTGCAGTAATGGGTTTCAAATGTTTTTACTACCGGTTCTGTGTGTGGAGGTTGGTGGGCGTGGCATGACTTGGTGGGTGTGGCTTGGTGGCAGGGTGGATAAAAATCAATGATTTTTTAAAAAAAAAATCAGAAAAATCAGATTTTTTTATTTAAATCGGATTTTTTTGATTTAAATCGGATTTTTTTTATTTTTATCGAATTTATTTTAATAAAAAACTTTTGGAGTAAAAATCTATCGTAAGATAGTTTTCTATTTAAGATACATAAATAATTTAGTTTATTCAGCATGAAATGGAGCTTAGTTATGTAGCACGAGGCTGTATATTCTGCAACACTGGGACTATCGGTGAGTCAACAGTGGGTCAAAGGAGTAGCAGAGATGACAGTTGCTCTTTAAAAATTATGATTTAAATCGAGCTGATTTAAATCAAGCCTTTTTACTAGTGATTTAAATCACGATTTAAATCGTGATTTAAATCAACTCGATTTAAATCAAATCCACCCTGCTTGGTGGGCATGGCACGGGAAGGATACTATAAAATCTCCATTCCCACCCCACTCCAGGGGAAGGATACTGCAAAATCTCCATTCCCACCCCACTCCAGGGGAAGGATACTGTAAAATCTCCATTCCCACCCCACTCGAGGGGAAGGATAATGCAAAATCTCCATTCCCTCCCCAATCCAGGGGAAGGTTACTGCAAAATCCCCATTTCCTCCCGATCAGATGGAACTTGGGAGGCAGAGAATAGATGGGAGCGGGGCCAGTCAGAATTTTTACAACCGGTTCTCTGAACTACTCAAAATTTCCGCTACGGGTTCGCCAGAACTGGTCAGAACCTGCTGAAACCCACCTCTGGTGCAGTGGTGGGATTCAAATAATTTAACAACGGGTTCTCTGCCCTAATGACCGGCTGGGTGGGTGTGGCCATGGTGGGTGTGGCCAGGGGGTGAGACAGGCAGCACTCGGTCTCCTGCACCCCCCTGGGAGCAAAACTGCACCGCCGCCCCCCTTTGTCCCATTTTGGGCCTAGTAGGCCTCCCTGCAGCCTCCTGGGAGCAAAAATGGGCCGCAGGGGGGCCACGCTGCACCCCCTCATGTCCTGTTTTGGGCATAGTAGGCCTCTCTGTGCCTCCTGGGAGCGAAAACAGACTGCGGGGGAGGGCGCATAGGGACTCCTGAAAGGGGCGGGGTGGGGAGAGGAGTGGCCAGCCAGCAATTTAACTACCAGTTTGCCCAAACTGCCACAGCTGAATCCCACCACTGCATCCATCCCACAATTAAAGTAGAAAGCTCAGTTGGAGACTTGAAGTTGTTACACGCAGTCCTCGACGTACGATCACAACTGGGCCCCAAATTTCTGTTGCTAAGCGAGACAGTTGTTAAGTAGGTTTAAGGGAGGGAAGAAAGAAAGAAAGAAAGGAAGGAAGGAAGGAAGGAAGGAAGGAAGGAAGGAAGGAAGGTGGGAGGGAGGGAGGGAGGGAGGGAGGGAGGTTGGAAATAGAAGGGGAAGGACGGAAACAAGAGGGGGAGGAAGGAAACAGAAATGGGAAGGAAGGAAGGAAGGAAGGAAGGAAGGAAGGAAGGAAGGAAGGAAGGAAGGAAAATATTAGACCAACAATCGAGGAGTAGACATTTCCTCAATCAAAGAACCACCAACTCAGACAAGCAACCCAACAGTAAACCACAGCCTAATCAAGGAACCACCAAAATCATTTTCACCAACACTGACTGGGCAAGCCATCAGTATATAAGCAGAGAGCAAACCCCCATTCCCTTCTAGCACTGATGATGTTGCCTAGTTGGGTAATTAAACGTCTGCAAGCAAACAACCCAGCTCAGAGACCACCCTGAGCTCCAAATAGCTGCTTCCATGGAATCTTGAAAGGTTTTCCAAGACGTTGAGATGTAGGTTGGGATCTGATCAATCTCCATTTTGCTAGCTTTCCATCCAAATCACTTCCCCGCTTACCTGTTCTGACCTAGGCTTCCTTAGAAAGCTCGAAGCAAAGTCTTAATTCCAGCCAAACCTCTTTTTTATTTAAACGACTGTGAATTACGGTCATTCACAGTCAACGAGGCTTTGGCAAACAGTCTTTCAGAGGAACGTTGATCAACACCCACCGTATCTCTCTTGGAACGCTGCCAGAGAACCAATTTCCAAATGCAGGGCAAGGCCAAACTTGGCACAGATTCTATTAGAGTTCGCGAACAGAACTTTCCAATCTTGAATCGACCAAATGAACTAATTGCTTCCTGCAAAAGCCCACGTCCCATTCGCTCCTCTTATATGTCCTATGGGAGGAGCCAATTATCTCCAAGGAGTGGTCTTACTCCCGAGTCGACCCTGATTTCTTAATTGTTCTTGTCGGCTGGCAGCTCTGTGCATGCGCACACGGGGAACGGGCTCCAGCTGTTCCTCTGCCTCGCTGCTGTCTATCTCCCTCTCTGCCTCCGACACAGAGCCCTCGTCCGAGCTTTCTCCAGCCCCCAGGACTGGCCCAAGTTCCTCCCCAACCTCCTCACTGTTCGACTCTGCTGCCTGTTGTGACTCCGATCCCTGAGCCCGTCTTATCGGAGGGAGAAGACTCCGAAGGTGAAGGAGAGGAGTTGGCCAGGCCTCTGTCTCCAGGACCCTCCTCTCTGGCAATGCCTCAGGTGTCTCCCGAAGAAGAAGAGATTGGCCAGGAGCCAGGTATCTCTGAACAGTTGCAGTCGGACAGTGGCGGAGATAAGTCTTGGCTGGATCCACGCCAGCGTCGGAGAGACAAGCACACACAGCAGAAAAA